ATTGTGACTAATAAAAATAATTCAAGTGAAGTCGAAAAACAAGCGAGTGTCGCCTGATGGAAAGCAGAGACTAACACAGTGTGATGCCAGCTGTAAGCCAGGAGTCAGGAGGTCATGTTAGCACTCAGAGCAGACATACTGTGGCAAACAGCAGAAAACCAAAAAGGGACGAAAAGACTCAGGGAGGAGAAGCTCTTGGCTTTGTGTTTCTCCTAAATCTGTGGGAGTTTAACTAAAAGGAATAATGAAGAAAACTGAAAATATCTGAACACTTGCAACATGCCAAAAGCAATCAGAGTATGAACCAGCTGACCAATGCACAGCTTGAATTCCTAACAAGGACTGCAACATTAAACTTCAAATGCGACTTGTGAAGAAAGAGGAGAAAATGCATGTCTGCTTTTACTCATCCAAACATAAAGGTAAACCTGTTTTCAATTAAGACTGTCAGCTGCATTTTATTTGCATATACATTGGTTTGCTTTTAGTTTATTTTAGTGAAAGGGACTCTCTTGTCGACTTTGCTCTGCTAGTGCAGCAGCCGTGGAAAATCTGAGAGGATTACTGTGTTATACAAATCAAGTGCTAATATTTTAATATTATTATAAACACAGAGACGTTGATGCAGAGTGAAAAAACTTTATCATGTTTGGAATGATTGCATCGTATTAAAGGGGTGTGGTTTGTTTGAATGAAAATAAACATATATAGTTTGATGTTGGAGAAGAAAACCTGGTCTGTCAGAGGGATTTGACGCGCAGCTGTATGGAGTAAAACAAAGAATAAAAACTCATCTCTGAGACGCTAGTCTCCTCAGGAAGCCTGAATTCCTACATTTGTCTGGACCGAATCTCATAATTTTTTCTTCTTGGTCTTACATTGACCCGTTTCTCACAGCACCACTCCTGTTATCCCTGATTGGCAATTAGGGACTCCTGATGCTTTCGCACTCCAGCAAGAGCTGATGTGATTCGGTGATTAGGTCTCATCTTTCAACACGCATTTACAGATGCACACCCGGCTGTTGTGTGTCTCACCTCATCACTGCCATATTAGCAATTGTAGCTGAGAAGATCCTCGACACAGGTGAAGCTAATAATGGGAAAGACTCTTTCCAGCAGGATGAGCGTGATTGGTTGAGAGCCTGAATGGCGTGGTAGCTAATCTAGGAAATAATAAAGAAACATCGACTGTCAATCATTGGTAAAAAGAGAGAGAGCTGAAAAACTCACATTTGCAGGAAACTGCAAGGGTACTGATGGACGAAAAAGTGGAAGGAAACTCAAATTTGTCTTCTTGTGGTCAAAATGAGTGTGGCAGAGAAGGGGTCAGGGAGAGGTCTGAGGCACGCAGCCTTCAATCAGAGTCCTGGAGAGGAGTTTTAGGGTTGATGCAGAGGTTTTGCTGACAGGTTATTCTTGCAGGGTACTCAAGCTCCTGGGAATACTGGGATTGCACAGTATGAGAGCTATCAAGAAAACTCATGTGGAAGAGAAGGCATCCAGGCGGATCAGCAGAGGAGATCCATGGACTGCTAAATCTTTTAAACTGGCCCACCCTAAATAAATGGACCATCAGTGACAGTCATTACTGATGGTTTTACTTATCGGTGTTGAGTATCTGGAAGATTAATTTTAAAAATATGAATTACACTGCTATCAAAACACACCATTTTACCCAAACTAGCTGCGTTTTCATGGGCACAAATAATCAGAATAAATGCATGATCACAATTAAAAGGCGTCATGTAGACATGCCGATCGGAAGATTCTGATCTAATTCGGCTCAATCGGAAAGAAATTGTATTCCGATCCAGAGAGGTAGTTTGTGTCGATCATTAGTCCGAAACGTGTCCACGGAATCACATATTCCGATCGTGACTCTATTACCTGACTCGATCTTCACTCTTTATTTATTGAGGCCAGTACAAGAGGTTTCATTATTAACACTCTGGCATCAAACACAACCGCAGGTGCTGCCTGCTCCTCCGATAACATAACAAGGCGTATGCACAGTGCAATCTTTGACAGAACAGTAAATTAAGTCAGCAAGGGCGCGTCTAGTGACAACATTTAACAAGGGGAAAACCTTCTGAATTGGATAGAGTGAGCCACAACTACATTTGTTGGTTTGTTCACAGCATAGACGTAAATACAACTCTTCTTCTGCGGTTGTTCTAGCGAAATTAGACAACTTGGCGCATGTCTATGCATGTCATGATCAGATCATTTGATTTTGCGCCTATGTAAACAGTGGATTCTGATTTTACAATCCCTCAGATTTTTGTCAGAGCAAGAAATTTTGCCCGTGTATACATGGCTACTGTTAAACAAGCATGGGTACTGTTGCAAGAATATCAAGTTCCTTTGCAGGACAGAACTGGACTTCCACCTCGGTAAAAGTCTATTCATCCTCAGTTTCTGCTACTCAGACAGTCACAATCTAATTTCAGAGCTGGAGAGGCATTTCCAATCAAGACTAGAGAGGAACTGTAGGAAGACCAGGGTGAAGTGCTGCCTGACCCTGCCTAGCCTGAATTGTCTCTATAGGGTCTTGCAGCACAGCAGACCTGTACAGACAACGCTGTGCACTGCTGTCTCTCTCTCTCATTAAATGCCCGTGTAAACTGCTAATTAACAATCTCTCCCTCTCTTATCAATAAAATCCAGGGCTGTCAAATCATTTTACTTTTTAATCATGCTTAATTGCAGAATTTCCACAGTTAATCACAATTGATTGCATTTTTAATTGCATGTTTAGAATTCCCGTCACTTGCTATTCCTAACAGTACATAATATTAATAATGTTAACAGAGTCTGAATCTGTAAATAAAATTTTCTTTATGATCTTGACTTTAAGATTCATTACTCAAACAAACGCTGCACCCAGGAGGTTTATTTTGTGAATTTGTCTCAATTTACTCTTGGTAAAAGTGCACCAACAAAACTGTCATTTCCACCGACATAGGCCTAGTTTACACTGTACCATGATTAATCACATATGAAATATCTACAGAATTACACAGCACAGCTGCCTGACAGAGGAGCTTCCTCTATTTGGAATCAGCTTCACACAATGGTATCACAGTCTTCCTCTTCTTAAAGCAGCTGACCCGCAGGGCTCCAGAAGTGTTTGCTTCAGGTGTTTCCTGCATTATCTCAGTGCTTTAAGAAATGCTGGGCTCATGTCTCTGCACAGAGTAGTTCATCTCACTGTTGCACCATAAAGGCAAGAGAGTGCAATATTATAAAAGTCAATATGGCGTGTAATTATTCAGAGATGGTTTTGATAACTCTCTAATGTCCAGTGATTCCTCGTTAATGCAGCAGTTACACTATTCAGGAGTTCCAGTTTAGTTGCTTACTCTGTGTCATACAGGTCCTGTTTGCAAAAAATGTGGCTCCTTGCATCAGCGAGATATGACTGTTCACAACATGCTCACCTGGATTAGCATGATGACCCACTTCCCACTTCAATCGATTTTATTTATTTTACTACTGACAGTGTTCTCAGTGGTCTTTTAATTGTAATTATGAAGTTTTTAGCCAAAATCATGTTACCTGTGTCATTTTCAAGAGCTTCTCTTCTGCAGAGCTACAGTAGCTCATTAGCAATTCACCCCTGAGTTGTGGGCGGAGACAGCGCTGCTCTGCACACTCCTTCTCATGGTAGCTTGCAGCCTAACATTGCCAGTGTGATGATGAAAGTTCATATCATAATTACCTCTCGTACGAGTATAGCAATCCGCTAATCCACACACTTATTCCGCGATCATCCTCTACTTTTCTCATGATATTACTTGTAGCATCAGAAAAATGCCATATGAACATATAAAAAACAAGAAAAACAAGATTTTTACCGGAGTGGGTCCTTAAGTGCTCTGGTGACCTTAATTCTACTTAACACAAAGTGCTAGGGCTGCAGGGTGGTACAGTGGTTTGTCTTGCTGCCTTACAGCAAGAACATTCTTTCCTTATTGTGTGGAGTTAGCATGTCTTCCTCAGGTACTCAAGCTTCATCCCCAAGTCCAAAGACATGCTTATCAGGTAAACTGGTCACTCTAAATTGTCCTCATATGTGAGTGTGTGCATGAATGGTTGTTTATCTCTTTTTGTCAGCCCTGTAGTAGACTGGAGACCTTACCCTGCTTCTTTTTTAATGACAGCTGGGATGGGTTCCAACCCTCCCAGTGACTCTGAATTGGAAAAGCCATAAAGATAGTGGATGGATGGAAAAATTGCATATTACTTAAAACCTGTCAAGTGGGGTGTCTGGAGTTGCAGGAAGGAATACAAACCACCAAAAAGCAATGTGGTGTCGTTATTTTCTATCACGGCAGCAGCAGGAAGTAAACTGTAAACTGGTTGGGAGGGGTTTCTTTAAAAGACTTTTACTGGTGTATGTGTATGTGTATGGTGTGTGTAGAAAAACATAATGATTAATGGTTGAATAAAACGTCTATGTGTTTTGATTCGAAAGAAGCTCCTGAAGTGACTCAGGGAAATACATGAACTGAAGACGCTCATCGTTCCTGTTATTGACAGGCCTTTCACTTTATATTCCATGTCAACATAACTCTAACTATAACCTACATTACAAAAACTTCATCTCTATCAGTAACAGGAGCTTCCTGCAAAGGTCTCTCCATGCTCTCTCCTGTCCATCCAGTGCCACATTACAGTACAGTAGAGGTGACTCGTGCAGAACAATTTACTGTGGACAGAGTGATTTATCACCAGATATGTCAGTGTGGAGAAAAGAATAGTTCCCCCCGCAGTAAATGGAGGTGTGGGGAAACAGCCCAGTGAAGATTAGCGATCTGAAGAGAAAGAGAATCCACTCAGTGTCCCTGACCCTGAAGAAAATATACCGGTCTGACGGCGCCTCAGTGTAAACTCACCTTCTCTGTATTCATGGGAAATGTGAGCTATGAGCTGCTTTACAGCATGACATGCACAGTTGTGCTCTCTCATGCTTTGCCGATCCAATCATTTGACCCCGTTTGGGATGCACACGCACACACATGCACACACACACACACTATATAAATAATAAATCTGTTCTGTTCTGCTGCAATGCCATATGGGGCTTGGAAATACCGTGGAGGAGAGGAGGACACCCCGGAGGAAAGAGCAATCCAGCTCTCCAGGCAATGAGCCTTGAGTGTGATGTTTTAAGACCACTTCACTGAGTCTCGCCAATGTTATCAAGGAAAGACGCTCCTTTTATCTCTCTGCTGGGCTCAGCGCACCATTAACCACAGTCTAACTATCACAGTATCCATTCACTAGCCTTTACAGTTCATACCTGCATGCATCACTGCACACAGCATTCGAGCACAGACTCTGGATGGACACACATTTACTGTATTCAGGCCCAGATGAGATAAAAAGCTTATACATTTATAAATGGGGCTTTGCAGCACCCACCCCAACATCCAACATTTTCTCCTTTATTCTCGTTATTCGCTTCTTTATATCTGTCAGTTTGCAAAAGGGCATTACACACTTCATCACTTTCACACAAAGCTTGAATAAAAAGTCCTCCAAGTGGCAAAAACTTGATGAACAAAAAGTTGCACCAGAAGAATGATGAAAGCTGTTTGAGGAGATGGAAACAACCCAAAACCTCTGCAAATGCACCTCTCTCTGAGGAGGTATGAAGTCCACCATGAATATTGGTTGCCATGGCGCATTGGATGTGATAAATTGGAGGATGGGGAGATGCAGTAAGTTTTACCAGATGTTACCTACAGACAGAACTTATACTAAACTGGTAAAACTCTTCAAATAAACACCAATTTACAATCATTATGATACTGATAATTTATTACCATATTAGTCCTTTATGAAGCTTTAAGCTGAGTCAACAAAGTCACATTGTTTTGCTCAGACTCCAACTGAACGATCACAGACAGACCAAAGACAGAGTGAGGTGAGTATAAAAGCTGCAGCAGAGACACAGCAAAAAAAGATGAATGTTAAAAGTCATGTTGAGAGACTGAAATTGAAATAGGTGGGAATGTGTGCGAGTGCCACTGGAGAAGAACATGAGTGAGAAAAGCAGGCGAGAATGAAAACGACAGACACAGACTGAAGGTGAGAATGACTCAGGGCCAGGCAGAGGGCACAGGGAGGCAATCAGATCCTCGCTCAGGAGGACAGGCGAATGTGTGAACAGACCCCGGACAGATGATTAGCAGGTGTCAGTGTGCGGTCTTAGCTCTTCGTTGACATGTTATCTGAATGAGAGAATGGAACTGTCTGTGCTGCAGTCTGCAGGACAAGAGAGAGGAGGGATGGAGTGGGAGCGGACGTCTAAGGAATCATTATTCTCCAGAGAAAGGTTGGCTGAAACTGGAGGGTGTTTTATGACTGCATTCACTGCAGCTATCGGCAAAGTTCAGACCTAATAAAACCAAGTTATTAAAGAGAAAGAAAGGGTCTGATTAATTAACCTGCTAACAGGTTTGGTGCCTAATATTGTGGTTAAAATTGTTGATTATAAATTTAAAATACCTTTATGTGTGTATGTTAAACACCCCAATTTCCTGTGAGCTGTCTCAGAACACTGGCGTACATAGACTGTATATAGAATGGACAGTGTCTGCCTCCTCGCTGGGTGAAGCCACCCCGAGAATAGCACCCTCTGGTGACGGGCTGCAGTATAGGTCATAGAGCTGTGGACAAATTTTACAAATTTATTACACAGAATATAACCCCCCCCCCCACCCCGGTTGCAATGTTGACATGTAGTTACTGTAAGACTGGTTTGTGCTCAAGTCTCAAGTTTGTGCTTTTTCTTTGCAGCTCGGGTTCATGTTTGACACTTGATACAGCCTATGGGTGTATGAAGATTGCATAGCTCACCCAGGGGATATGCTGTTTGAGCCGAGCTTTATCACAGCAACTCTCCCGCCAAATGTGTACAACACTACTGTGCAAGTGGTGGTTTCAGGAAGCGGAGAAAAAACCCGAAAATACAGAGAGCTTTTTGGCTTTAAATCTGTATACTGGCTGAAGGCGGAACCAAGTTGGCCATAGTATATACAGTCTATGTTAGCTTCCCATTAAGTAACATGGTTTACACTCTTATAATACAGAAAATCAAAAATCATCACTTTTTTGTGGTTGTGCAGTTTGGTCTTAACAGTTTATCCTGATTTATTTATTTGCTTGCATGTCTTAAATCCCATTATGTTGTATTTAAAATAGGCATTTTTACCCCTATTAAAAATGGAAAGAAACTCTGTTCAGTGTCTTTATTTCAGATACAAATAAATGCATGAATTTTACAAGCCTCGGAAGAGGATGCATTCTCTGTTTAACACATGTCCTTAAACAACTCTACCTCATGGCAGTAAGACATGACAGGTCACAACATGTCAATATAAGAACAGCTCAAATGACACCAGTTAATCTGTGCCCAAACTGTTTGCCAGCCGAGGCTTGATCTTAGTGGTAATGTGTTGTGAATTTGTGAATGACACTTTGACATGTTAGGGGGGTGGTTGCTAAGCAGCCTTGAGCAGAATTTTTGGATGGGTCTATAAAGCATTTCACAACAGCAGTGATGATGAAAGTGTGACAAATAGATCAGCACATTTTCTTTTGCCTTTTGTTCCTGGTATGTGAACATTTTCTGCATCAGTTTCATTTATTTTTTCACAACTATTTGATTGAAATATAAACATCAGCATATCATTTCAGTACGAAGGTTCAAATGTTACGTTTAAATTCAGGGAAAACACCCTTTATCAAAGGTGGCTCTGGGACTTCACTCCTGATCCACACATACCCATGACAGGCTTCACCTGAAACCAAAGGTGAAGAAAACCGGAGCTGCCTCAGCATAAAATTTTCTTATTGTTTAGTATGTTGTTCTTACCGCACCTTAATACATCATTCCCAGGGCGGATTTTTCCTCACACACACAATAATGAGGATGTAGTGTGTAGATCCCAATGGGAGCCATAAGGCCAAAAGCCAATAGGGGTCGTGAGAGGGGCAGCACATAAACAGATGCTCAAAAGCCGGCAGCTCTGCATGCATGTGCTGAAAGCAGGAAGAAGCGAGCCGCATGCACAATGATAGTGTGATCTTACACGGGCTCTGCCATGATTTAATGAACAAGTTTAGTGATGGGAGCTGTCACTTTGTGTGTAGTTTAGGACATACATGAAGAAAGCGTCCCATCAGCACTGAGAATAAAAGAGGATGGAGGACTATAACTCAGAAAGTGTTTACATTTTGTCTGAGCTAGAGCATGCTTCTGCAAACACAGACATACACGCATCATTAAAGTTAAAATGACACATGGACATTTACGTGCGGGGTGATGCCTTGTGTTTCTAATTTCCATTCATGTTTTCTAATTTGTCATTAATTTGCATGCGGTTAGAGGAACAGAAAAAAACTAATTAATCTTTAAAAAAAAAAAAAGGATTAATGACTCATATTTAAGCTCTGTGGTATACAGGCTGGTCTGCTTTCATGTACAGTTCGCTGCTCGACACGGGAACAGGTCCTGACTAATTGAATTGCTGTGTTGTGTTCTGTAACAGATCTTAATCAGGCGAGAGCGTCAGCACACAGGCAGCTGCCTCATGCATCTCCAGGCCTGACATCTGATCGGTGAAAGAATAATTACAAACCAATGCACTGGACTGCTGCACCCGTTTGGTTTGTAAAAAAAAAAAAAAAAAAAGGGGGAAAGAGAGGCAATAAATAATGCAGCACACTTAGCTTTCAAGATATCATGTTTCCTGCTCATTTGCAATCTCTATCTGCCGATGAGGGTTTTGAGCTGTGATTCAGGTCCTCTGTAATCAAGTCAAAGCGCCTATCAGGAAAAATGAGAGGTTAGTGTTTATCTGATGCTTGAGACCTCTGAAGAGGACAATCATCTGCGTATAAACATCTGAGGGAGAGCATGCAGGTCACAAGGAAAGCCATTTTAAGGGCGAATGCTTGAGAGTGTAGTTGCACATATGTCAGGGTATAACATCTATGTTCCTACTCATTACTCATAAATATAATGCCAGATATAATTAATCTGTGTGACCTATTGTTACTGCCGTTGTTGTTGTTATACTACATCCATCTTTCTAAGCCCAACACATTCACAGCAGAAGGCTATTCAACATGAGTCTGGAGATGCTTGAGGCTTCTGCCTGTTAAATGAAGGTTTTCACCACACTGTACCTTACTAATGCTGTAAAGAGCTCTGTTCATGGTGGATTAAGACGGGACAAGATTGAATCTTGAGATAAAATGAGATTGAATCATTTTCTTATCTTGATGTTGGGGCTCTACAATTAATATTAACAAGGGGAAGAGTCTAGACTTGCTCTTGTAAGCATTTTGTGGTAACATTTGTTGTGAATTGCAAGACCTTTTTAACGCTTCACAAGAGTACATGCAGGTTAGAGTTAGGATGAGACTTAACCATTATTTGCCTCTTGACAAGAGGTCTTAAAGGCTCAAACCAAAAAGCCCAAAAGGTCCCTAAAGGAGTTTAAGGGTATTTTCACACCTGAAAGTCCAGACCCAGAACCTAAGTCTGTGCTTTTGTTAAATTTTTTTTACACTTGGTTCTGTCTGTTTAGGTTTCACACTGTCATTATTTCAAATGGACTAACAGACTTTACATGACAAACCTATGTGATATCGTTATCAACTAGTGCTTTGGGTGTCTCTGTAGTTTACACTGATTGGTCATTAGGCCAGCTGGCATCTGACGTCAACACGTTGAAAAGCGCAAGTCTTCAAAGTTATCAATCAAATGTTATTTATATCGCGCCACTTCACAACAGTCGTCATCTCAAGACGCTTTTCAAGGAACAAGAGCAGGTCTAGACCACGCTCATTGTTTGATGATCAAGAACCAACCTAAGATGGGTTTTGGCCCATCTCAACTAACATGAGTAACAGTGGCAAGGAAAAACTTCCTTTTAACAGGCAGAAACCTTGAGCAGGACCAGCCTCATGTTAGACAGCCACCATGCCGCTGCTGGGTTGGGGAGGAATGTAGAGTGAAGAGGGGAGAGGGGAGAGGACAGGGGGAGAGAGAGAGAACAAGATAAGGGAAGGCGAGAGAGAATGAGTAAGGAGAGGGAGGGGGAGGGAAAGAGAGTAGAGAACAAGGGTGAGAGAGAGACAGGGGGCAGCAGAAACAACAGCAACAACAGCAACTAGGGCCCCGTTGGGGCACTGGCGGGCCCGAGCCGTGTCGCGCCCCCCCCCCCAACGCGCTGCCTCCCCGTCCCTCCTCAGAAGCAGTCACCTCACTCCCCTCAGGTTACTGTACACATGCAGCAACTGCATGCTTCAGGTTTGGATGGCGCTTCATGGTTGTCTTTTGGAGAAATGACCAGCCAATTTGCGTTTGACATTTGATTTTTTCAGGGGCAAGCCTCTGCATTCCTGTCTAATATGTAAATAGCATGTTTTTGCAGGTGCTAAAAAACAGACTCTGTGTGTGTATGTGTGTGTGTGTGTGTGTGTGTGTGTGTGTGTGTGTGTGTGTGTGTGTGTGTGTGTGTGTGTGTGTGTGTGTCTGTGTGTGTGTATCCTAAACACTAAACACTTCCACTACACAATTAATCCTTTCACGTATAACGGTCACTACAGTGGACAAATCTTCACAGGACATTTTCTATTATAAAAATAGGGGTTTGATTTTACAAATACATAGAGAGCAGTGCGTTTGAACCATTGAACGATGAACAGGAAAAACTTGACTTTATTCTCCTGCCATGGGGGGGCGCTCTTTTAACGAGAAAAAACTCCTTCACAAATGTGTTGATGGCTGGACATTGCATCATCCTAGAAAACATGGAGGCCAGTAAGGACAAAAATAAAATGTTATAACACTTTTAAGAATATGGATATTTGGGTCATCTTTGGCGCCCCCTAGAATGTAAACCGTGGGGTGCAGCATCATGATTTTTACAACTTTGAATGGCCATGGGGTGTACACTCACCGGCCACTTTATTAGGTACACCATGCTAGTAACGGGTTGGACCCCCTTTTGCCTTCAGAACTGCCTCAATTCTTCGTGGCATAGATTCAACAAGGTGCTGGAAGCATTCCTCAGAGAGCTTGCTCCATATTGACATGATGGCATCACACAGTTGCCGCAGATTTGTCGGCTGCACATCCATGATGCGAATCTCCCGTTCCACCACATCCCAAAGATGCTCTATTGGATTGAGATCTGGTGACTGTGGAGGCCATTTGAGTACAGTGAACTCATTGTCAAGTTCAAGAAACCAGTCTGAGATGATTCCAGCTTTATGACATGGCGCATTATCCTGCTGAAAGTAGCCATCAGAAGTTGGGTACATTGTGGTCATAAAGGGATGGACATGGTCAGCAACAATACTCAGGTAGGCTGTGGCGTTGCAACGATGCTCAATTGGTACCAAGGGGCCCAAAGAGTGCCAAGAAAATATTCCCCACACCATGACACCACCACCACCAGCCTGAACCGTTGATACAAGGCAGGATGGATCCATGCTTTCATGTTGTTGACGCCAAATTCTGACCCTACCATCCGAATGTCGCAGCAGAAAATCGAGACTCATCAGACCAGGCAACGTTTTTCCAATCTTCTATTGTCCAATTTCGATGAGCTTGTGCAAATTGTAGCCTCAGTTTCCTGTTCTTAGCTGAAAGGAGTGGCACCAGGCGTGGTCTTCTGCTGCTGTAGCCCATCTGCCTCAAAGTTCGACGTACTGTGCATTCAGAGATGCTCTTCTGCCTACCTTGGTTGTAACGGGTGGTTATTTGAGTCACTGTTGCCTTTCTATCAGCTCGAACCAGTCTGGCCATTCTCCTCTGACCTCTGGCATCAACAAGGCATTTCCGCCCACAGAACTGCCGCTCACTGGATATTTTTTCTTTTTCGGACCATTCTCTGTAAACCCTAGAGATTGTTGTGCGTGAAAATCCCAGTAGATCAGCAGTTTCTGAAATACTCAGACCAGCCCTTCTGGCACCAACAACCATGCCACGTTCAAAGTCACTCAAATCACCTTTCTTCCCCATACTGATGCTCGGTTTGAACTGCAGGAGATTGTCTTGACCATGTCTACATGCCTAAATGCACTAAGTTGCCGCCATGTGATTGGCTGATTAGAAATTAAGTGTTAACAAGCAGTTGGACAGGTGTACCTAATAAAGTGGCCGGTGAGTGTAGATTGGCCTGAGCAAATTTGGTGTCAGTGGGACGAAAGCCTTAGGAGGAGTTAGCTACATTCCAATGTGTGCGAATCGGCAAAAAATGCGAAATAGCCCTTTAACCATACATTTTACAGATATGTGCGCGTTGACTTTTCCTAGATCTTATTGAGATACACTTGATTGTCAAATTTTGTGTCAATATGACAAAGCGTATAGGTGTGACACTTAACAATGTGTATTTTCACCTTAGGGGACAAGAAAAAATGGACTTTTTTCTCCTGCCATGGGGGGGCGCTCTTTTGAGGAGTAAAAATTCCTTCACAAATGTGTTGATGGCTGGACATTGCATCATCCTAGAAAACTTGGAGGCCAGTGAGGACAAAAATAAAAAGTTATGACTTTTAAGAATGTGGATTTTTGGGTTATCTTTGGCGCCCCCTAGAACCTAAACCGTGGAGTGCAGCGTCATGATTTTGATAACTTTTAATGGCCACGGGGTGTAGATTGGCCTGAGCAAATGTGGTGCCGGTGGAACGAAAGCCTTCGGAGGAGTTAGCGAAATTCCAATGTGTGCGGATCGGAAAAAAATGCAAAATAACCCTTTAACCGTACATTTGACAGATACGGCCGCACTGACTTTTTTGTAGATCTTATTGAGATACATATGTGTGTCAATTTTTGTGTCAATATGACAAAGCGTACAGGCGTGACAGTCAATAGTGTGAATTTCCACCTTAGGGGGCGCTATGGAGCCATTTTGCATTTTATTGTTTGGGCGACTTCAGAATATCGAATTTTTCACCAGGCCCGGTCGTCCTGCCAAATTTCCTGAGTTTTCGCCAGTGGGAAGTGGGCCATTTTCCAGTTCAAAGGGGAGGAAAAAGAAGAACTAGGACCCCGTTGGGGCACTGGCGGGCCCGAGCCGTGTCGCGTCCCCCCCCCAACGCGCTGCCTCCCCGTCCAATTTGTGTCCTCTGGCCATCGCCCTCTCTGGTAACGCCCATCACTGCAAAGACCCTTTTCCTTCATCGGCGTTTGCTGTTCTTCCTGCCAGTGCGTGTTGCTTTCACTTACACTTGCCACAGCCAGCCTCGTGAGTGCCTAGCCTATTGGATATCACTGTCACCTACACAGGACAGTCATTACCTTTCTATTAATACTTTGTTTTTTAATTTCACATTAATTTCCATATTGTATAAACAACTGGAAAAAACTTGAGCCCCTGCCCCTGTATAATCATGTGCACGTCTCTGTTCTAGCTCTAAGGTGAATCTTCACTGCTCATGTTCTCCTCAGAAGCAGTCAACTCACTCCCCTCAGGTTACTGTACACATGCACCAACTGCCTGCTTCAGGTTTGGATGGAGCTTCATGGTTGTCTTTTGGAGAAATGACCAGTCAAGTTGTGTTTGAAATTTGATTTTTTTCAGGGGCAAAAGGAGCCTCTGCATTCTTGTCAAATATGTAAATAGCATGTTTTTGCAGGTGCTAAAAACCAGACTCTGAGTGTGTGTGTGTGCGTGTGTGTGTGTGTCTGTGTGTGTGTGTGTGTGTGTGTGTGTGTGTGTGTGTGTGTGCGTTCAAGTCACATGACATATTTAACCGGATGTAGCTGCAAGACGGAGCCTCGTTGACTCTCCGTTTCAACTTATCTCAAAAGTGAGGACCTCAACCTATATACCAGTTTTTAAATTGTGTTGATAGGCCAAATAAAACCAGAGTTATGATAAATTATGTCCGCGATACTTGTTTTCTGCTTATTTTGATCACGTTCGGCGCTCGATCGCGCTGTATGAGACAGGAAAACATAGCATGCAGACATTAGCGACAGGTCTTACAGGCGGAAAAGGCTTGCCAAAGAAAAAAAAAACACACCACAACATCTCTCCTATTGGTGGAAAACTTCACCACAACAACCAATCCAAAATTATATGGTGACTGATTGACAAGGGGCGGGCGCTTACGTTCTTCCTGCAACATGAGAAGGGAGGGAGGGACTCTCAGCAGGGATGCAGTCTGGGACACGTAGTTGCAAACCTAGCGACTTTGTTGTTAGATTCAATGACTTTTCAGACCCCCTAACGACGTTTTTTTAGAAAGAAAGTGACTTTTATCGACTTCTTCTGGAGTTTAGAGACTCTGACATGAAGCAGGCTTTCCTTACTGAGGAGTTAGCAACGCTGCTAAGGGTGCAGAGCCACACATGCGCTCCGAGCTCTGCATGGGAGACT